GTATTGCCACGAGTGGGCCTGAGCCTGTGGTACAAATTCCACATTTATATGACGGGAACCAATCTGCCTATATGACTTCTTTACAAACCAGAGGTCACTTGGAGGGATCTCAGATGTATCTCCGTGAAATCTACTCCAGCGGGCCGCTTCTCTCCCACCCAGGGTCGCATTGCTCCACGCGAGATCAGAACGCATTTTTCTTCACGTGAAATAAAATCCGATTTCTCCGCAAAGCGGTACTCGATTTATCCCCCCCTCCCGGGACGGATGATGGGCTGAGCAAAACCCCCTTCCAGCACGTGAACTCGCAACCCACGGCGATCGTGAGTCACGAACTCCGCGTTAGACCGCGGGCGCCGCCCTGGGCTCGATCGTCACGGCGTGAGCAGCAAGCGACTCTCTTCATCGTCTCAATTCGCGCCGTCATCGCCCAGAGCAGACAATGGGAGAAGCCCTGAAGCGAGCGACATTAATCGTTGCGGCCCTCCCGTCACTCGCCCGCTCGCCCTGCTCGTGCGCGCAACGCCCTCGCCTCTATCGGGTTACGGCGCGCGTGACTTAACGAGAGTTCGGCAAAAAGAGTGTTATGCGCGCGTTGCCTGGCAATGATGGCAGGGCTGCCCCACACCCAGTGCCGGATTAAAGCTAGTGGTGGGGGCTGTTATAAAGGGGCCCTAAATGTAAAAATAAAACCCACGTAAATGTTAAAACACATTTTTTTTAACTTGTATTGTAAAGTAATTGTATTTTTTTTATTTGCTATACAGACAGATAATACGACAAATCGTTAACCTTAAACACCCAGTCGTTGAAGGCGGTATAGTACTATAGTAACAGAGCAAGTGCAGAATCACTGAACCGGAATTTTGATTTAAAGCTTTCGTGACTGCAGGGATTCGTCTTCTTGGTTCTTTCGGTAAAAAAAACATAATAAAATAATTTTATTATGTTTTTTTTATTACTTCCCTTCTACGTGACTTTACCGAAAGAACCAAGAAGATGAACCGGAATTGATAGCTTGAAAGCATTTAGCGCGGAGTCCGCAGCATATGCGACTTTTGCTACGAGGATAATCCCGCACTGCCCACATCCCCTTTTTAAGTGGGCGGCGTGTTTAGTTTTCCGGGTACGTCGGGACAGCTGGGTCAGACCGACCATACGTTTTGTTTTGTGGCTGCATCATTGCCAACCGAGGAGTGTTGAGCAACTCCCCGATGGATTGGGTGGGGGGCGGCGGAAGGGAAGGGGGGGGTCGTGTCGGTTGTACCCCACGCGGCCATGCGGCTGAAGCTCGGGGAAGAGCGATGAACAACAACACAAAAACCACAAGAAAATGTGCTTGAGAGAAATTAGTGTCGTGATGACATCGCTTTGAGTGGAGTACGGTTTTTTTGTGAATTTTACGCAGGAAAATACATGTTTGATGGCTTCAGAATGTTACATACCTGTCAACTCCTTTTAAGTGCCCTACATTATTGCAGATCAATTCACACCGATTTGGCCACCCCGTGCGCTTATAAATATCAACGTTCATCCTATACAATAAACTATACACTCCACTATACACTACACAACTACATACCTGTCAACTCCTTACCACTGCCTACCTTATTGCAGACAAATTCAGACCTTATTGGTCATCCCGTGTCCTTATAAATCTCAACGTTCATCCTACAAAGTCCCATCACAGGGGAGAAACACAAACACATCGACTAATTTTGTGCCCGTATTGAAACGTCTGCACGCCGTATTGACCTGAAAACTCAATTTCCCTGTGCAAGAATACGGGTGAACGGTATGGGTTGACAGCTATGATGTTTTATTGCTACAATATTTAACAGATACAGGGGACTCTTTTACTTAAGAACGAGTTACGTTCCAGAGGTCTGTTCGTAAGTCGATTTGTTCTTAAGTTCAACTTTACTCCTGTCGATTCCAAACGTGTTTTACGGCATGCACACCAAACACGGGGAATGGCTTTCAAAGTTGCATAGTCTCATGTAGATGTAGATGCCACTGGTTCTTCTTGTTCGCCGCTTGAACTTACTACTCATCATTCGCGTGCTAGGTGCATCGCGGCTCCCGTGTAGCACGGTGCATTTGGCACTTCAGAGTAACAATTTTTCGTGCTCTTGTTTCACTCGAGTTACCGTGATGGGGAAGTAACCGCCTATCTGTGGTCTTCATCGCCTGGGGCAAAACAACCCCCCACTTGCGCCGTGGACGATTTTTGAAAGAATGCGATCGTATCAGGAGATGCACCTCCACTCCAAAACCCGCCCTGCCCCGAACGCCGCGCTACGGCGGAGTCCCACGGGAACCCCACGGGAACCCCACGGAAACCCCACGGGTGAATTGGGGCAACATCGCCAAAGCCATTTCGAACTCGCCCCAAGATCGCGCGTGGTGGCGGTGCCAGTTTGCAGGGCTGTGGTCTCATCCGTGGCATACGCCAATGATCTGCCGCGTATACACCCGGCGTCTCACCTGGTGAAACTCAATATTGATCTCGAATCGCCCTATTGACCCACGGATAACCCCGCACTGAATCCGAGGACTCTTTCTTTTTTAAAATCCTTTATATTAAGTTCACTTGCTTGCTTGCTTGCGCGCTTACGACCGTGCAAATCTTTCGGTCGTTTTTTAACCCACTTCCCGTGATCCAATCGAGCTGACATTTTGCACACAGACTCGTTGTGCGTGACAATTTATTTTCGTGAATTTTTTTTCTCCAAAATTTTACACTTTTTAGGGAAAATTAAATAATATTTAATTACCAATGGCTTAATGGTGGCAGGCAATCATCTGACCCATAGGTGGCAGCCATCTCAAGCCAGAGGACGAGAGGACTCTAGCCGCCACGCATATAAAGGATTTATAGGGAAAACTTTGTTTTTACGGGTTAATTTTTTATTTATTTAAGAGGGCCCTCCTGCCATTTGGATGTTTGGCCAGTGCCTAATTGGTGCAAGCCGGAGAGACCGCGCAGGAAACCCACGCAAGGCAGGGAGGAGAGAGTGTACAAACGCCCGGGTCAGGAGTCGAACCCGGGTGTGCTTCTGGCTGCCAGTGGCACGAGCGTTCACCCACTGCACTGTTCATCATTACTCATTCACTCTTCATCGCGGGCTTGGCACGAGTGACTTCTCAATTTTGTTACGCGACCAAACGGCGGGGAGATGGTAAGGAAACCATTGTGGATGTGTAAAGTGTTTGAACGGCCATAGTAGAGTTTTTTTTGGGTTAGATCGCGTAAATATCTAAATGTGTCGTTAATCCCACCACCACCCGACACAGCCATTTAGTAAGGGTTGTCACGTAAACAGAACATGCCAATTCGTCACGAGTACAGCACGGATTGTAAATGTTGTGGCTTTGCTCTCCAACACACCGGTGTGCTGTACTAGTGACGAATTGGCACGTTCTGTTTACGTGACAACCCGTGTCGGATAGTGGCGGGTTTAACGACACATTTATATATTTACGCGATCTAACCCAAAAAAACCTGCATTATGGATATTAGTTCGCGAAAGCCTCCTACGTGTTCAACTGTTCGAATGACGTAGTACGTTACGTAAAAAAAGGTACGCGTGGATTCTCTTTCCATCTCGTTTTATTTTTGGTGCGCGAAGCAGATGCCCATCTGATCGCAATGATGAATACTCGTCACGCTGCACGAATGGCAGTGCCGAGGGCACTTCTATTTGCGCACTGCCAATCTGCCAAAAAGTGGAGCCGCGTGCGTCGCCTCACCGCAGAATGCCGCTGTGTTCTCAAGGACGCGAGATGCGGATCGCGTGTCTATGCACACGACGACAAAAACATCCCCCACCTCGAACCTTAACAGACTGTTAGGGCAAGTCCTGTTCGCGAGTAGCACCTCGATGAATGCCGCGCACGGCACACGAGGGGTGGGTGACCAGCGCCCACGCCCCACCGCCTTTGTCTCCCCGGTGGCGATGTTTGAGGCTGAGCCGACTTAGTGGGAGGCCCGGGACCGGTTCAGAAAATCGTCGCTGGTGTCAGAGACCGTGAGTGCTGACGAGTACGGTGGCAAGGGGATGTTAACTACCTCGCCTGGTACACAGGAGGTCGTGGGTTCGATCCCGACCCTGATGCCTGCTGCATATTTGGACTCTGCGTCTTCTCCCCGTGGTCGCGTGGATTTTCTCCGGGCCCTCCGGTAACAGTTCCCCCCCCTCCACATTTAGAATCACCAACACTCATTTAGAGTGTTTGGCCGCTACACATTTCCACATTGATAAGCCACTTCGTTGAGCTATCATTTGTGGCCAGGTCGCTTCTGCTGCAAAAAGAGCTCCAATAAGCTCGGTGGGCCTTCAGCTGGTTAAAAAAAATGGTTCAGTTTAAATGACTGCCCACGATAGATACACATTGGCTCGTGCACACGTGACATTTGCTTGCGTGAGCGTTTCCTGCCACCGGGTACTCCCGTTTATTTTTACTACACAACCACTCCCCAGCGACGCACGTGCACACGTTTGCACGCGCACACGTTCGTACGTTTGCACGCGCACACGTTCGTACGTTTGCACACGTTTGCACGCGCACACGTTCGTACGTTTGCACGCGCACACGTTCGCACGTGCACACGTTCGTACGTTTGCACACGTTTGCACGCGCACACGTTTGCACGCGCACACGTTCGTACGTTTGCACGTGCACACGTTCGTACGTTTGCACACGTTTGCACGTGCACACGTTTGCACGCGCACACGTTCGTACGTTCGCACGTGCACACGTTCGTACGTTTGCACGCGCACACGTTCGTACGTTCGCACGCGCACACGTTTGCACGCGCACACGTTTGCACGCGGCGAGCGGCTTGCGCGTTCTACTCAAGGAGACGACGGCGACGTTCGCAGGCAGGTGTCAACATCCCAACTTTATTTACACATATCAAATAAATACAAAAGCGTCGTATGTAATTCGCATGTAATTTAAATCCATTCCAGTGTTCTGAATTTTTTCCCCCCTCCCCCCCTCCCCCCACGTGTTTCGATTTAAAATCCAGCTCGTCCATGCATAATGCCCTCATCATCATTATTATTATATCACCCTATGAAAGAGGCAGCATCTCTTTGTCCATCTGTGTCTATGTCTGTCCTATCTGGCCCACCGTCTCTCCGTCCATCCATCTGTCCATCACTCCCCACCTCTTTGGCCAGTTGTCTGTCCTTCCGTCCGTTTGTCCGTCCGTCAGGACGCTCGCTCACGCGCGTGCGTCCGTCACCCAGTGCATCTCGCGGGCGGCGACCAATCACCGCCGCAAACGAGCTGCCTTCCGCGCGGCAGTTCGAGGGAAGAGAGAATCCGCCCGGCGTGGTTCGTGACCTCGAGTCTTGCCGGATGTTCACCGAATCCGCAGAGCGGTGGACTGCTTGGGGCAGGTCACCGATTAATAACAGGGGTGAGTCGCCACTACAGCGAGCTGCACCCGCAGCTCTTGGCGATGTACGATGACAGAAACGCTTAAATAATCGTCTACGAACACGCGGCGCCAATAAGTTATTACCGCGCTCTCGTCGCGTCGTCGCATTCACAGCTCGCGCGCGCGACACGACGCGCAGTCGGCCGTTGGCCAGCTCCCTGCGCATTGCGTAACCGCCGTCGGATAAATAATTTAAGGCCCTCGGGCTACGAAACCTGAACGCTGGAGGGACGTTCGGCGAATCGAGCAACACGATGTGGCATGGCAAGGGCATTCCAGTTTTCTCCAGCAGATTCCCACGGTCGGCGTACACCGTCCAAGTTCAACAAACAAAGGTCTCGAGAACCCCCCCCCCCCTCCTTCAGAATTCATAACAGTGCTGTAATGACACTGGGCCAGTGCTGGTTGGAAGGGACAAGCCGGGAGGGTGCAGTTAATATCCTCGAAGCTGGATGACGATGCGTGTGGTACGCGTAGTGTGTGGTATGCGCAGCTTTGTGAATTGGAACACAAAGCCAATGGGTGATGATGATTTTGCTGCACCAGTATTGGGCTATCACGAGGCCATTTCTGAGTGTGGGTCTCCACCGCGAGCGTGTGGGTCTCTATGCGGGTGTATGGGTCTGTGCAAGTCTGTGGCTCTCTATCTAGGTCTGTGAGTGAGTGTCTATGCGAGTCGATGAGACCTCAGTAGAACACACAAAGGGGTGGTGGGGCCAGCACCATCTTTGGCCGCCTTTGAGCACCAGGTACTCATTTAAGGCTGAGTCAACCTAGGGGAGGACCGGGATCAGTTATGATATAATTTGAACTTGCGCCACCGGGTTTGTAGCTCCATGCTCTAACCTCGACCCGCCTGACACATTACACACATGACACACACATGACGCACGACACACACACGACACGACACACACTCGCTCATCACAGCTCACAGTGAACCCCCTCGCCGCACAGGTGCCCCGCTTCGGCCTCGGGCACGGCGAACGAGATGCGGGGGCACGGCCCCACGACGTTCTGGCACACGAGCTTGCGCAGCGACGCCGTGTTCACGATGTCGAAGCCCACGTCGCCGCCGAAGGTGCTCGGCTTCCAGTAGAGCGGCGAGCACACGGGGTTGCTCATGAGACCCTTGAGCGAGAACGGCGCCCCAATCTCCACCATGCTCTCGCCGAACATGGAGCCCTGGCGCGACTTCTCGGCCAGGAGGCCCACGTAGAACTCCACGGCGTCCACGTCGCCGTACAGTTCCTCCATCTCGGCTGCCATCTCCTCGTCGCCTGCCGGCGTACCACCGGACGGGGGACAGTGGGCGGGGGAGAGAAGGACGGGGTCAAGGTTCATCAGGGTGATTTTTCGATTTAAAGCTTTCGTGACTGCAGGGATTCATCTTCTTGGTTCTTTCGGTAAAAGTCACGTAGAAGGGAAATAATAAATAATACAAATAAAACATAATACAATTATTCTCACGACGTTTCGGCTACAACGCAAGCAGCAGTCCTCAGGTGAAGAAAGGACGGCTGCTTGCGTTGTAGCCGAAACGTCGTGAGAATTATTTTATTATGTTTTATTTTTATTATTTCCCTTCTACGTGACTTTACCGAAAGAACCAAGAAGACAGGGTGATTTTGTTGGAACGAGCCGGATAGAGGAGCCTCGTTTTCAACAGTGACCTGGGGGCATCGGTCTGCTGCCAGTAGGGGCCATGGTTAGCACGGTTGGCTGCGTACGGTGCGAAAGAAGTTCAACGTAGGTACATACATGATGGTCGCTGTGAGTATAGTCCTGATCGAGTCATTTTCGGGGCGTCATTTTCGACTTGGGCTAATTTGGACCACGACGCTGGTGGCACACGGTGGCTCTACCCTTGCTAATGGACGTCACGGGATCTCTAACGTCCGCCGTGAAGCAAACGTCGCGCAATGTTATTCACGGTTATTGCACCCGCAGTGATAACCAGCGCGGCCTACCGGATTCGAACCCTCCGTGACAAATGGCGAACGCGCCATGACTGCCGGTGCCACCGCCAAATTGTGATGATGATGAGCTGCCATTAGGCTAAAATAAAAACCGAGACGTTTCGTTGATGCTGTGGAGGTTTGCACGACACAAATGCAAGTTTCACTGCCATCCCTCTACGGACTACTGGATAGATGAACGAGCGAGGTAATTGCGTCGAATATCCAAATAGCCAAATCGAATATCCACATAGCCAAATTGTGTGCCGTGGAGTTCCATTCACCCCCCTGCCCCTGAGAGAGAGTGTGAGAGAGCGTGAGAGAGCGTGAGAGAGGGAGAGAGAGGGAGCGAGGGATGGAGTGGAGCCGGCACGCCGGGCGCGTCGTCTCCGTTGGGAGCGGGATGACAGTGCGGCTCGTGGCTCCGTTTGGTGGTGGCAGGAAGAGGAGGCACCACCCCCGCATTGTTCCACAACGCGGCAATTATCACCGCCTCCGGTAGGCCGGCAGCTCAGCAGAGGTGCGAGTGTCGAGGGGAGTGTCGTGGTCAGTATGGGAAGGTGAGTCGTAGGGGCTTGGGGTCAGGATTGAGGTCAGGGTTGGCCTCAGAGTCAGGGTCGGGGTCAGGGTCGGAGTTGGGGGTCAGGGTTGGGGTCGGGGGTTAGAGTTGGCCTCGGGGTCGGTGTCTGGGTCAGAGTCGGGGTTGGAGGTTGGGGGTTGGGGTCAGGTTGGGAGTCGGGGTCGGGGTTGGGGGTCAGGGATGGGGTTAGGTCAGGTCTGGGGTCAGGGTTGAAGTTGGAGTCAAGGTGAGTGTTGCGAGATGGGCGAGGGCAGCACCTGCGAGCTCCAGGAAGGAGGTGAAGGGCCGCATGTTGAAGCGGTGGCGGTACTGGTTGAGCGACTGCAGGCCCAGCGTGCGCCCGTGCTCGATGATGCTCATCGCCACGTGCAGGAGGTTCTTGTTGACGTTTCGACCGCCCGACACCTGGCCACGGCAACGCGGACACAAACACGCGTGCGCGCGTCCGCACAGCACAGAACCCGGTCAATCAACCCACTGCCGGACGACGGCCTCCCCCCACGCTGTGCGTTCCAGAGCCGGAATAAACCAAATTACAAACAGGGGCTGGTAAAATACGTACCACTCTGTGGAAAGTGAACGCTCGTTTGCATATGGAGAGACTGGCTAATATAATTATTTATTGGTGAGCGTGCCCCACACTGGTTTTGACAGGGAGACTCTGGCTGTTATACAACAGATTGTTACGAAGAATACCCTCCAGCCGTTTGCCAATCCAATGCTGGATTGAGGCTTCCTCCCCATGGCGTGTCGGTCACGGGGGTTGTCCTGACCACGCCTCACCGCACCAGTCAGCATCGTAGCGCCGCAGCGCTGTAACGCCCGTTAGCCACGCGGCGCCGGCCCCGTCCATCTCAGGCCCTACGCAGGCTCTCTCCTGCTCGGCTCCCGAGCTCCGACGAGACCAGGCGCATTCCGGGCGGCCGTGGCCACGGGCAAAGCAAAAGTGAGCGTAGCAAACAGGGCCATCGATCATCCTGTGACGGGCAAGCGTGTAAGTTTGTTTGGCTGGTTCTCCTCCCCGGTCTCCTGCGAATGGACCCAGCCGTGCCTTAAAGCCTGAAAACCGCACCCTGACCTCACCAAACAGCCCACGCCCCCCCCCCGCATCCCGCCCCCACAAACACCCCAATACCTTTCCTGATGTCAAACACACATTGGATAGAGCTGTGCAGTGTCACATGCACTCCAGGTTGTTTACATGTAACAAAGCCAAAGATCCCCCGCATAGCCTTAACAGACTGTTGGGGCAAGTGCTGTTAGCGAGCACTTATGAAAGCCGGTACGGCGCACGAGGGGGTGGGTGGCCAGCACCACGCCCGGCCGCCTTTGTCTCCCCTGTGGCGATGTTTACCCACTGCACCAGGTACTAATGTTAGGGCTGAGTCGACCTAGGGGAGGCCCAGGATCGATTCCGATAATCGCTACTGTTGTTGGCCGTTAGCGGGAATCGAACACGGGCTGCCGGGTTCGTAGCGCAGCGCGCTAACCACTACACCACCGCTCCCCACACACACGCATATAAGGCTAGGTTTTACCCTTTCTGGCAATAAAACAGGTGTTAAGATGTTAAAACACCAAACTGAAACCTTTTGCAAGGAATCATGTCTACATTAACCACATATACTTGTGGTGAACATGCAAACAAAAAAACATGCTCTGGTAGTATATGATGGTGCATTGTCTTTGAAACTGATTGGTCCACACCAGAGACGGCTTTCTTTAGAGCCTCATCTCAAACAGCGTTGGACCAGAGGACGCCAAAAGGCGAACAGCACAAAGACAACGCCACCGTCAGGACATTGAGAGCTCGGGGTGAGCAGCTACATCATGGGACCTCCCCTGCCAATTATCCAAATATAAGGATAGATTTTACCCATTCTGGCAATAAAACCTATTCTTATATTTGGATATTGGCAAGGGAGGTCTCATCGCACACACACATGCCTATACATATGTAGTGGTTTAACGCGCGCCAAGTGGGGTAATTGTAAACACGTGCGGGTTAGGAACAGTGGGGTCGTATCGGGACATGCGGCTGTTGCTGGGGGACAACGGGTGAGACGGAGACGGCCCGTTAGGCAATTATGGATGCAGGGCAGTGATTGGCCGGTTGTTGTTGTCAGAGGCAAGGTGGCGCCTTTAAGTCTGGGAATGGGGACAGGTGGTGGCGGGGGCCGGGGGCGCGGGGCGTTGGGGGGATGCCAGTTATTAATTGGAAATTAATAGGGACAGGGATAAATACGGGAGCGTCAGAGGGAGACGGGGAGTTGTGCTGGGAGCTGGACGGAGATGGTCGGAGCAGAAGATGAAGATACGAGAAGAAGTATAGAGAAGCAGTGGAGTAGAAGAAGTATAGAGTAGCAGTAGAGTAGGAGAAAAAGTATAGAGTAGCAGTGGAGAAGAAGAAGAAGTATAGGGTAGCAGTGGAGTAGAAGAAGTATAGGGTAGCAGTAGAGATGGAGACGAGGACGATACGAGAGGTAGAATAGGGTAGCGGTGGAACGGGAACGAGAGAGACAGTTGGAGTGAGACGGAGAAGCCGAGAGAGAGCGACGGCTGGAGTGGGACGGAGAAGCAGAGAGGGGAGTCGGGAGAGACGGAGGGAGAGACGGAGAGAGAGAGGGAGGATCAGAGCGAGCAAGGCCGGCGAAATGTGCCGAGTTTGATCAAATAAAGTGACGACAGAAAAGGAAGAAGTTGTCCGCGTAAAGTTCAGCACTACACATACATCTATTTGATCTATTCCCCCTTCCTCACCGTGCCGGCTCGCTGGCGCATGAAATTCCGCACAAGCGGCATGAGCTTCTTCTCGGCGAGCAGCCCGGGGTTGAAGAGGAACTCGTTGTAGCTGTAGTTGCGCCCGTCGATGTGCAGCGAGTCCGGCATGAGCGGGTGCCAGTGGTAGAGGTGGTTGAACTCGAGCGACATGCGGTTGCTGTACTGGAAGTTGACGCCAAACAGCAACGTGGGGTCGAACTTGAGGTGGAAGTTGTAGCCGCTGAGGTGCTGCACGTATTCCTCGATCACGATCTTTATCGTCTCGCCTGCGCTCACGCGGGGAGGGGCGTTTGCCACACATGCGGCGGGTATCGGTACTTTGTTGTTGTTGTTGTTGTCGTGGTTGTTGTTACGGTTATTGTTGTGCTCGTTTACCCGGGAAGGCTTCAGAGAGTCACACGATTGTTTTTTCAGGAGAGTCCTGCAACCGTCATCGTCGTCGTCATCGTCAGCACCGCCACCACTATGACCACCATCACCACCGCCACCACCACCACGACCACCACCGCCACCACCACGACCACCATCACCGCCACCACCACCACCACCACCACTACGACCACTACCACCATCAGCACCACGACCACCAACCACCACCGCCGGCCCCTCACCGGTGAGGATGAGGCGCGCCGTCTGGAAGAGCCGCTCGTCGTCCCAGCGCGGGTGCTGAGCGCGCAGGACATCACACACGCGGTTGTGCTCGCGCAGCCACACCGTGGCGTAGACGAGGAGGCCCGGCAGCAGGCCGTACACCTCGTGGCCCACGGCGAAGCGCAGCGACGCCGGCACGTGCTCCGGGTACACCATGTGCACCGGCGCGTCGCGCACCAGCGGAGGGTACGCCTCTCCGTCGATCAGCTGGGGACGGCGTCATCGGAGCGTCATCGGTCGACGCTCTATTCACGCGCCACTACGACGGCTACCGTGCCCCCCGTGAGCTCCGCTCGTTGATTGCGATGCCCGTGTTGAGGGCTCGGTACCAGGCACGGACTGCGTCATCTCATCCACCACTGCGTCATCTCATCTACCACTGCGTCGTCCGAATCACCACCACCACCCGGTGTGCAACCACTACCACGAGCCTGTGTTCAACCACCACCACACCCCAGGTCACAACAATTATCTTACTCTGGGACCTCCTTTGCCAGTATCAAATTTTTTTACCCTTTCTGGTTGTTACAACACCAAACAGAAGCCTTTTGCAAGGAATCATGTCTGCATTAACCACATATATTTGTGGCGAACATGCACACGCAAAAAAACATGCTCTGATAGTTTATGTGGTTAATGCAGGTATGATTCCTTGCAAAAGATTTCTGTTTGTTGTTGTAACATTTTAACACGAATGTTTTATTGCTGGAATGGTTAAAACCAATCCTTATATTTCTCTTTTTGTGAGGGTGAGCAGCGAGCGTGGTGAGGAACAGCCAAGGGGGGGGAGAGGGCGGTGCCAACCTGGAATTTTAATTTCCCTTCTTTGAAGAGCCGCAGCTGGTGTTGTCTCTCCAGCGTTCCTCCGTAGATGTGGTTCAGGTCGACCTGGAAATCGTCACGTCACACGCGCCTCTCGCTCAAACGAATTGTGCGGAGAACAGCAGCAATATCCATGCATCTATGTAGATAATTAAAAAAACTTGGCATTTTAGGAATGCCTTCTACCCACGCCCCCACACCCTCTAGATGTATGCATGCGTGCGTGTGCGTGTGTATGTGTGTGGCTGGTAGTGTAGCGGTTAGCGCGCTGCGCTACGAACCTGGCGACCAGAGTTCGATTCCCGCTCACGGCCAACACCGGTGACGATTATCTGAACCGGTCCTGGGCCTCCACTAGGTCAAATGAGTACCTGGTGCGGTGCGTTAAATACATCGCCACCGGGGAGATAAAGGCGGCCGGGCGTGGTGCTGGCCACCCACCCCCTCGTGTGCCGTTCCCGCCATTAATAGATGCTGGCTAACAGCACTTGCCACAACAGTATATGAAGGCGATATGAGGGTTCTTTGTCTTTTTCTTTGTGTGTGCGTGCGTACGTGTGTGCGTGCGTGCGCGTTCCGTGCCGCTTACCCCATGGCCCAGCGCGCGCGTGAAGGCGGGGCCCCGCACGGGGTCCGTGTTGAAGAACTGGTGAGTGAAGTGCTGTGCGAAGAAGGCGAACATGAGGTTGGAGCCGTGCGGGTTGGCCTTGAACTGCCGGCGAAGCAGCAGCCGCTCGGCCACGAGCTTGGCGCCGGGCAGCTGGGGCTTGCCTGCCGCACACCAAGACAACAAAGATCCCCCCGTGTATCCTTAACAGACTGTAGCAAGCACTTATGAAGGCCGGCACGGCACACGAGGGGGTGGGTAGCCGGCACCATGCCCAGCAGCCTTTGTATCCCTGGTGGCAATATTTACATACTGCACCAGGTACTCATTTGAGGCCGAGTTGACCTAGGGTAGGCGCATGACCGGTTAGGATAATCGTCACTGGTGTTGGCCGTGAGCGGGAATCAAACTCAGGTCGCCGGGTTCGTAGCGCTGCGCACTGACCGCTGAGCTACCGCTCCCCACACACACGGCGACAGCAGCAATAACAACAAAAACCACACACACAATGGCGGTGATTGAACAATGTCCGTCAGCGTTCTGTAATTCACGCGCGTGACATTTCCGCGTGCAGCCACGGTCTCTGCCATCGTTCTGCGGGCTCAACCGCAAACGCCGACAGCGGTAGCCATCGCCCGAGTGTGCAGGCGGTGCAACTTCCACCGGGCGCCCTGACATTGGAGTTGCCGCCTGCCCAATTGAATTCCTCGCATATGTTAACTATTGCATTATTTTGAGTATTCGATCAAAGAAGTATCGATTATCAGGTCCACTAATCAACTAATTAGATAACGTGAAAAGCCTACTCTCCGTTTCCACCTCACGATTTACCTCGTAAAATACTACTATTTACCTCAGTTTATATCATAAAATGCCACTATTTACCTCAGCTTATATAATAAAATACCACTATTTACCTCAGTTTATATAATAAAAAACTACTATTTATCTCAGTTTATATAATAAAATACTACTATTTACCTCAGTTTATATCATAAAATACTACTATTTACCTCAGTTTACATCATAAAATACTACTATTTACCTCAGTTTATATCATAAAATACTACTATTTACCTAATACTACTATTTACCTCAGTTTATATCATAAAATACCACTATTTACCTCAGTTTATATCATAAAATGCCACTATTTACCTCAGTTTACCTCATAAAATACATCTAAAATGTTTGTGAGGGTCACGAACACGGGTTAGAATATTACAGCGAGACCAATCCGCCACAAGGCAATGCTCGGTCGGCTACCTGCGATGCCCATGGGCGTGGGGCAGTCCCGCGGCACGGGCGGCAGGATCCGTGTGAAGTACGACAGGTTGGAGTACGCCTCCCACGACTTGTATCCGTACACCGAGTTGTAGGTCGGTGGGCTGTCGATCAGGTCCGAGCGCGCTGACAGAGACACACACGCGGACAGACGTGTAAAGCCGCGTGAACGCTAACGATGGGAGGAAGCATTCGAGCTTGTAGACGCATTCAGGTGATGCGTAAGGGAAATGCGCAACCCTGCAACTTGCTCGCTCACATCACGACCACCACTAACGCCACCGTCATCGCCACCACAACCACCATCATCGCCACCACAACCTCCATCATCGCCACCATCACCACCACCACCACCGCCGTGTGGGAAGTTGTAGGAAGTGAGGCAAGACGCACACACAAGGACGTAGCGCATGATGGCGTCACGCAGGAAGGAGATGCTGTTGACGACGTCCCAGACGGCGGGGAAGTTGGTTAGGATCCAGTGCACCGTGTCTGGGCTCGGCTTCAGCAGCCTTACGATGGCCGTGCGCAGCTCCGCTGTACGAGCAGGGGAACACAAATGGTGGGGATGTGATTGAGACATTTGACCCAGCGTCTGGTTTGGCTGTGACAGTGTCAGTTGGTTTTAGGAAGTCTCACCAGATGCCCTGTAACGTTCATAAACATGTTTAATTTTCTTACCGGTTTAATATGTGCTGGCTTCGTGTTTGTGGCAGTGGCGAGATTTTAACTGTCTCGCTCGGTATGGAGGAGGTCGTGGGTTCGATCCTGACTGATGCCTGTTGTATATTTGGAGGTTGTATTTTCTCCCCGTAGTTGCGTGGGTTTTTCCTCCGGGTCCTCCGGTTTTCCCCTCCACATTTAGAAACATGCGTTGAGAGTATTTATACGCCATTTCGCCGAGCAATCATTTGTTGTAACCAGGTCTCTACTGAAAAAGGGCTATTATAGCTCAGTCGGTCTTACCTGGTACAATAAAAAACAGTTTTAGTTTAAATGTGGGCAGAGGGCTGGGCTACCTGATAAGTGGGTGGAGCTAGTGGCCGAGTGGGCGGAGCTAGTGACCGAGTGGGCGGAGCTAGTGGCCGAGTGGGCGGAGCTAGTTGCCGAGTGGGCGGAGCTAGTGGCCGAGTGGGCGGAGCCAGTGACCCAGTGGGTGGAGCTAGTGGCCGAGTGGGCGGAGCTAGTGGCCCAGTGGTTGTGCTTATGTAAAAGTGGGCGGAGCTAATGGAGGGGGCAGCTGCCAGCTGAGCCGTGCGGCGTCCCGGTTTGAGCCCACAGAACTTTGACGTCACTCATTTTAAATTGGGACCCCCCCCCCCCCTTCCATGACGACTTAATGTCAACCGTGCTTAATGCAAGGCTACCGAGGTGCCGAACGGACGACAAATTCTGACCGGGCCCCCTGCCGGTTAAGTGAATGGGGGTGGAAATAATAAAATGACAAAAATAAAACATAATAAAATACAATTGTATTTTATTATGTTTTATTTTTATCATTTTATCATTTCCCTTCTACGTGACTTTACCGAAAAGAACCAAGAAGACGAATCCCTGCAGTCACGAAAGCTATAAATCGAAATTCAATGGGGGTGGCGTGGCACGCCCCGGACAAAGCGGGGCGCGGTGGTGACGGGGCGATGAGCGGCGTGCGCGCGTGTGACGGGCGCGGCTTGCTCACGTATGGTGCAGTTTTTTCCGTGGTATCCCGTGTAGGTGCAGTCGCAATCGTAGCGTCCGTGCTCGTACTCCGTGCAGACGCCCTTGTTCCGGCACGGGAAGGAACAGCAGGGATTCGCCGTCTCTCCAACTGGAACAAAATGCAGAGATCCGTGTAGCCTCGACGGACTGTTGGGGCAAGTGTTGTTCGCGAGTAGCACCTATGAAGGCCGGCACGGCACTAACAGAGTGTTTGGGCACCTATGAATGCTGGAACGGGGCAATCGGGGGTAGGTGGCCAGCACCACGCCCGGCCGCCTCTGTTTCAGCAGTGCTGATGTTTACATGCTGGAAACCGGTACTCGTTTAATGCCGAGTCGACCTAGGAGAGGCCGAGTAACAGTTCAGATACTCGTCACTTGTGTTGGCCGTGTGCAGGAGTTGAACTCGGGTCTCCGGGTTTGTAATGCAGTGCGCTAACCTCTGCGCCACCGCTCCCCACACACACCATTCTGGAACACGTGTGCACATACGCACACACGCAGGCACCACCATACACCGCACCTCCGATTAGCGTGGTTGGCTACGTACGGCGCGAAAAAAGTTCAACATGCATACGTACACTTCAGCAATGAATGAGTGAGTTTCACGCGAACGACAACCGCGATAGTAGCGATAGACGAGTGAGAAGGAGGAGGTGGTGGAAATTCCACGTGCCCCATGTGTGGAATTTGGTCTACATGTTGGACAACCACAGTTGGCATTCTCACAGAGTGGAATGCATTTCATTGGCCCCTGGGGGCCTGATGGGCTGTGTCTAACCCCAACCGGGATTTGAACTGTAAGTGTTCGGTTGAAAGCAAATATAAGCACAACTCTGTTCTGTGTCTCCACATAAAAATGCAAATATGCTTGAGACCAAAGGGCAGTTGGCTTTTCAGACCAACGTTATCCATAAGTATATGTTTAAACAAGCAACCTCTGGGCCGGTTTAAGCCTTTTGGGTCTCATTGGCAGCCATGGACAGGAATTGAACCCAGGTTTCTGGGGTTCATAGCACAGAGCGCTCACCACTGTGTCTTTGCTCTGTGCACAGCGTTGTAAAAAACTTAAAAGTGACATCCCCGCCGTGTGTTTATGCCCAGGATGGGTGGATTGGGTTCCTCAGGAACCGATGGACAAATCAAACTTCACTTTCATTTAGGCCGGACGGTACACGTCTAAGGCTGCTCATGTTTTCTATGGTCAACGGATTAAATGCACATTAAAAAATATATATATTTTGGTGGCCAAATAACAGCAGCGTATTACGGGAGCATCTTCACGAACCGAATTCGAATCTCGCCGGCACGCGGGGCGAAACGTCGGACGTGGTCGCGGCACGACCCTGAAAGTGCACGGCGACCTGCCACGCAGTAGGCAAAGCACGCAGTCAACCAAACATTCTCCGCAATCATTGGCGCGTGCCACGGCAAGGCGTCCACACCCCATGGCGGTCCAGGGATCCGGTTCCACGATAGGAATGCACCGATGGTTGGTGGCAACGTATTGTCTGTCAGCGGGCGCGTTCAGTTTGGCGATCCTCTTGCCCCTGACACGAAACGGCCTAGTGACGTCCGATAGTTCATTGGCATTGTTTGAAGCGAGCCTCACCATGCTAATGAGACTCTAAGCATCCCAGTTCTGCTTGTGTTCGAGCCGTGCTGCTGAAAACGCACTTCCGAAAGGCGTTGTGTGGCCGATGGTATCTGTAAAATACGTTTATTTAAGCAGGAAAAACAAAGGTGGAAAGGAGGCGAATTGGTATGTTTATTTATTCTGTTGCCTATAGCTCAGCGAAGGTCACAAGGTGTGTGTGTGTGTGACGGCCAACACCGGTGACAATTATCTGAACCGGTCCTGGGCCTCCCCTAGGTTGACCGAGCCTTCAATGAGTGCCTGGTGCAGTGTGTAAACATACCCACTCAGGAGAGAAAGGCGGCTGGGGTGTGGTGCTGACCACCTACCCCTCCGTGTGCCATACAACCCTTCATTAGGTGCTCGCTAACAGCACTTGCCCCAAAAAGTATAAGGTTACAGGGGGGAACATTTGTCGATGTAATACAAAAGGTTGCTATTGACAATGCTATTATTGTTATTACGCAACAAACCAAAGCCGTGATTTGTAATGTATTGCTGCCTTAAGGATGATCCTGGGTACACTAGGAGTGGCAACCCTAGGCTATACAGGGTAAAGCAAGGCTGCCTATTTTTGGCCACAATCGGTGCCCGAGAGAAAGTTTAATTAGCACCACGAATGGGGTGTGGTGCATTCAAAACAAGCAACCAGTTTCTCATTATTAACCGGCGTGGCCTATAAAAACTAATACGTTTCCCACCGTAATTTGGGCTCTCGTAAAAGAAGGTTAACTTGTCAGCACCACCTGTCCCCACTGGGATGAAGCAGCATCGCGGCGTGGGGCTTTTTTGTTGTTTTTAAACTGCCGCCGTAACCCAAAGTGGCGTTTTGAAGATCCCGCTCCGTTCGGTTTTGTCCAAGGGACACCACGCGACGTCACGTCGTTTCCTTGCGCGCCGCGCCCCTCCAGCCCTGCGTGGCGTCCCCTTGCCGCCAGACCGTTGCGTGAAATTGAGCGCGAGCGTTTCCAGCCGTCGCCCACCACGGCCACGCGCCGTTGCTCCCGCTGTCGGTTGACTGGCGCCACGCTTCCAGAAGAACATCGGAGCTTTTTTTAATACTCCTAGTTCTTTTGGTAAAGTCACGTAGGTAAAAAATGAAATAAAATTTTTTTTTTATTAATTTTAATTTCATTTTTTACCTACGTGACTTTACCGAAAGAACTAAGAGTATGAATCCTTGCAGTCACGAAAGCTTCAAACCTTTTTTTTTTACTCAATCGCAATTCTGCTTTTGGCCAAAGCAAATCTGTACGGTTTCCACTTATTATTGCAATCATCATTTCCGCCAAGAGCACAGGGGGTGTTAAGATGTTCACACACCAAATAGACACAAACCCATTATCACCGCAAGGCATCGAGTCTGTATAAACCAGCTGTTTGTGGAAAAGATCGATGGTGGCTAGAGGAACGCGCAAAACGGAACGCACCGCCGTCGCCATAGATAGGAAAGGTCTCTTCGTCCTAGTACACGCACGCACGGGCACAAACGCGCACGCACGCGCACACACATGCACGCAAAGTGTGGGCGACGACCCGCCAGGCCCGTGCCGAGCGTCGAGCGCGCGACGGCCGGGCGAGCCGCCAGACCCCAGGAGGGCCAGCGAGAGGGGATGTTTTGCCGACGTCCGCGTGAACAGCCGCCCATTGTCTGCACTCGCCAAGGGTCATCGGGGTGAAACCCCGCAGCGGGCACGACGCTGCTCTCTCGCGCACGATTTAGCGCTCGTGTGATGTTCCGCACGGTGTCCGACGTTTCGCTCCACGTGCCGGGAGCTTCTTCACTATTGACAACTGCGCAGGGCTTTTTCACAGTTGCGCTGCTCATACAGCTTTCTGCGCGATGTTATTACCGGGGTTGTACCGTGCGTTTTTTGAAATTATGTCCGACGTTTCACTGCAGGTACCAGGGGGGGGTGGCTTCCTCAAGTTACTGAAGTCAAACGACGCGCGGAACACCGTGCGGTACGACCCAAAATCGTGTCGGCGGAGCGCGAAACAAACGGACGCTGGACTTGCGCCGTGCGGTAAACGCGAGGGCGCCGTCGCTCGGGGGCCTACCTTCGGCGGCGGTGGTGGCGCCGCACAGCACCGCGCACAGCGCCAGCAGGAGCCACGGCGCGAGGTGGCGACTCGTGGGGCTTCTCCTCCTCCTCCTCTCTGTGGAGAAGACGTTAAGAGGACAATGAGCCCGCGCTTGCATCGGTACGGCGCTCGGGGCTTCCTTTCAGCCGAGCTGCGATGCCTGGCCAGCGGCAAACATCGGTGGCGAGCGGTACCCGAACCGGTCCTGTGTACCCCCTCTTCACCGACCCGCACTCACCAGCGTGGTGAAGTATGGCATGGGCACGGCCGGCTAAGCGTGGTGCGAATGAAGTTTAACGTACGTACATCCAGCGGTGGATTGGCAAAAGGAGCGTGGCGATTGTGTGGAACAGCCTGCTCGGTATTGCCATGCTTAAACATGAGCTGGGTACAGAGAGAGGGTTGTTGTTGTTGTTGTTTATGTTATTACGATGCTTGTTTACTCAGGAAAACTTAATTGATGCTCAAGACTCGTTTTCGGGAGATTCCCGCCAAGTTTTCAGCATATACAGAATTGCGATATTTGGGCCAATACCGGTAACATTGACTGTTTTTAGCTCTGGGAGGAACCCGGAGGAAACCCATGCAAAGCAGGGGGAGAACTTACAAACTGCACACACAGAGATGCCCGAATCGGGATTCGAACCCGGGCCCTTCATGCCGTGAAGCACGGCTGTTACCACTGCCACCACTGTACCAGACTCTGATCGGGCAAGCTCACGTACCTGTGGAATAATGGGCAATGGCTCGTAGCTATGTAGTGGCAATCACGTCCACACACACACACCGTGTACAGACAGCCTGGGTTATAAATAGCTGTACGGCAGTCGTAGTAGCAACTGACTTTCTACAGGTCACCAACTGCCAGCCACAGCCTCCAGGCCTCCTCTACCGACCGAGGGGCAGCATCCGCTGTGACGCGTCACGTGCCCACTGCGTCGTACAGCAGCTCACGTGGCTCTTCCTGGGTCACTCGGGAGCGTTGACCTTTCCCTCCTCTCAGCAGCAACGCCACCGTCAATGCACTGCGATCCGCCGTCGTTTTTGTGAACCCGAGTTCGAATCCCCGGCCGCGGCTAACATCGGTGGCGGGCGAGCAATATCCGAGCCCGTGCCTGGTTGTGGGAACGCACAGAGGTGTACGCTTTCGAAGTAAACACCAAGGGGTCTTTACTCTATGCCCGGAAGCTTGCGCCGGTGGTGCGGTGTCGGTGGTAACTCGGCTCAGATCCGGCAGGTCGCCCTGGTTATTCCTGCGGTGCGAGTATTAACCGTACAACTACGTGCGGTTTGGCTTCCAAGTTCGAAAAATCATCCGTAAATTACTCAATTGGGATCACGCAGAGTAACACCGCTCCGTTAACGCACTACAATTAACGGTGTATCCCACACTACACTCGCTACTGGCGCACCAAACCTGTCTGTGAAACGCAGCGCCATCATTCGCGATTAGCCCCCCGCACCTGTGAAACTGGCGGCGAACACGGAACGCGCAAAATTATTTGCGGCATTAATGTTAGGACCTCTGCATCATCGTCGCCGTAGTCGTGGCAGCAGCAGCAGCAGCAGCATCAACGGTGGTGCCGAGCGAGCGTGAGAACCACTCACGTGTGCCAACCGCCAGCGGCACAGCACGGATAGGGATTGCAGCGGTGTCAGCGGTGTGTGTGTGTGCGCGCCTTTGTCTTTGTGTGCGAGACTCGCTGGCACAAGCGTGGCTCGTACTAGAAGCATCGAGGAAGCCCGTGCCCCCGAGCTAGAGGATCGTTATGTGTCCCAATGTCACACCCCACCACCGCATAGCGATTTTGTTCCCATGATACATAAAGTTGTTCTGATAATATAATTATTCTAATGGTTCAACTTGTTTGCCCAGGAATGCCTCACTGAGTCTCAAGACTCTTTTTCAGGGCGGACCTGCCAAAGGTCTGCACTTGGGTGCAATATTGACATTTGTAAATCCAATCGAACGATTTGCAGTTAACGCGATCTGACCCAAAAACTTATATTATGAATTATATTGGTCGCGAAAGCCTACGTGTTTAATTTGATTTGCAGTTACATATGTTTTCAGCATTGTGATGTAGTTTGGTCGATACCGGTTAAGTAGCTCGTGCGGGCGTTGAGCTTTGGGAGGAAATCGGAGAACCCGCAGTAAACCCATGCAGAACAGGGGCCAGAGAACATACAAACTCTACACAGACAGAAGCCAGAGTGGGCAATCGAACCCAGGCGCTTCTGGCTTGCGAGGCGCGTGTCACCACTGCGCCACTAACCGCCCAGCCGCTTCACCACGCTGGTCAGCGTGCGATTCACACAGAACCCCGTAGAGTCAAAGAGACCCCCACAGATTCACACAGAACCCCACAGACTCACACAGAACCCCACGGACTCACACATAATCCTATAGACTCACAGAGACCCCACAGACTCAGAGACCCCACAGATTCACACAGAACCCCGTAGAGTCAAAGGGACCCCCACAAACTCACAGAGACCCCACAGAGCCCTAAGTGAGGACGATGCAGTTGAGTTTGGTGGCAGCAGCAGCAGCGGCGCTGTGTGGCTCGTCTGTAATTATCCATCGGTGCCAGAGGAGACAGCCGCAAAGTGAAAGGAACCCGTCGGCAGGCAGGTGCGTGTGAGCAGGTGAGTGAGTAGGTGTGTGAGTAGGTGTGTGAGTAGGTGAGCAGGTGTGTGAGTAGGTGTGTGAGCAGGTGAGTGAGTAGGTGTGTGAGTAGGTGTGTGAGTAGGTGAGCAGGTGTGTGAGTAGGTGTGTGAGTAGGTGTGTGAGTAGGTGTGTGAGTAGGTGAGCAGGTGTGTGAGTAGGTGAGCAGGTGAGTGAGTAGGTGTGTGAGTAGGTGTGTGAGTAGGTGAGCAGGTGTGTGAGTAGGTGTCTGAGTAGGTGTGTGAGTAGGTGAGCAGGTGAGTGGGTGTGCGAGTCTGTATTGGTTGGTAGCTGGGTGTGTCGATAGGTTTGCGGGTCGGTGAGTGTATGAGTATGCGAGTGCGTGTAAGTGTCTGTAGGTAGGTGTGTGAGCAGGTGAGTGAATAGGTGTATGTAAGTGTCTGTAGGTAGGTGTGTGAGCAGGTGAGTGAGCGTAAGTCTATCGGTAGGTGTGCGAACAGGTGAGCGAGCAGGTGAGTGAGTGTGACTGTAAGTCTGTAGGGAGGTGTGTGATCAGGTGAGTAAATAGGTGAATGTAAAGTGTCTGTAGGCAGGTGTGTGAGCAGGTGAGTGAGTGTAAGTCTGTAGGTAGGTGTGTGAACAGGTGAGTGAGTGTAAGTCTGTAGGTAGGTGTGTGAACAGGTGAGTGAGTGTAAGTCTGTAGGCAGGTGTGTGAACAGGTGAGTGAGTGTAGGTCTATAGGTAGGCGAGCGAGCAGGTGAGTGAGTGTAAGTCTATAGGCAGGTGTGTGAGCAGGTGAGTAAGTCTGTAGGCAGGTGTGTGAGCAGGTGAGTGAGTAAGTCTGTAGGCAGGTGTGTGAGCAGGTGAGTGAGTAAGTCTGTAGGCAGGTGTGTGAGCAGGTGAGTGAGTAAGTCTGTAGGCAGGTGTGTGAGCAGGTGAGTGAGTGTAAGTCTATAGGCAGGTGTGTGAGCAGGTGAGTGAGTGTAAATCTCTCAGGTGTGTGAGCAGGTGGGTGTGTGAGTGAGCGAAGGAGCCTGCGGAGTAGCCGTGGGCTCACCTGTCATGACTTGTCGATGTGTGAGACCCGGCCGAGGAAGCTGTTCCAGGTGCGTTGCGAGGATCGCCGAGAGAGATAGAAACCTTGAGTAGACGCCGCTGCTACTGCAAGCCCTGCAGGTCTGTCCCCTCGCCCAAGACCCCGCGCGTGGGAGCGAGTCGAGGTATTTATACACCTGGGATTGTTGGCCTCGCCTCGCCTGCACAACACGAGGTGTACGCCAACAAATAACGACACACACGAAAGGGAGACGGACGGAGGAGGAGGAGGCGGCAACGGAGGCGTAGGAAGAGGGAGGCGATGTTCAACTCCCTTCAACTCCTCCCCTTCAACTCTCCCCAATCCTCACGCGTGCCCGAAAAAGGGGGGGGGGTGTAGGCGCAACCCTGCAATTGCTGGGCTTGCGCGACTGTCAGCCGAGAAATGGGGAGGGGGGGGGCTCCTCCTGACCGAAGCGAAGATTCGAGTGCTGGTGGAGGCTTGGCCTTAAACACCGGACGAGGTTCGTGTTACCCCACCACCACCACGCGTGCTGCGTGCTTGTTGTACATTGACACAGCTGGGTGAACAGAAGCGGTGGGACTGTGGAGGAGGAGGTGGTGGTGGCAGCAGCAGGGGTGGAATAAATCTCACACCATCTTCTTGGTTCTTTCGGTAAAGTCACGTAGAAGGAAAATAATAAAATAAAAGAAATATCATTTTATTATGTTTTATTTTTATTATTTTATTATTTTCCTTCTACGTGACTTTACCGAAAGAACCAAGAAGATGAATCCCTGCAGTCACGAAAGCGTTAAATCGAAATTTAAATCTCACACCGTTGTCAAAGCTGCCGTGCCGGGAGATCGAGTGAAAGGGCGACCTCTATGCGTTTGCAAGCGCAGCACGGTAGCCAGTACACCAGTCGGTGTATATACACACCTCGGTTATCCTTGATTCAACAAAGAGATGCGATAAACCCATTGAGACTCAAGGCTCGGGTAATGTGAAGTTATTTTAAGCACTGTCGAGTCGTCATTTGTGTTGCGGCTAGCCGATAATTCCCTGCTCGGCGCACGGATATGTTTGATCGACACACACGCGTAACGCACCGACGGACTAAGCTCAGCAATCATGATAATCACGCTCAATTTGTGAGAGGCTAATTTCGGGACGGCGACGTGGAGCAATGAGCGTTGGTGATGATGCAGCAATGGGATGAGATGCCGGGTGCCTGCAACGGGAAGAGACTCGGGCTACGTAGACAAATCGAGGACTATTTTCTTTGAACCTATCTAGAAGCAGAGTATTCTTTGGGTCTTTCGGTGAAGTCACGTAGGTATAAAATAAAATAAATCACGACGTTTCGGGCGCAACACAAGCGTCCATCGTCAGGTCGCGCCCGAAACGTCGTGATTTATTTGATTTTCTACCTACGTGACTTTACCGAAAGAACCAACGAGTATGGATTCCTGCAGTCACGAAAGCTTCAAATCACGTATAGCTGTATCAACACTTGATACAGCTATCGTGCTGTGATGGTTCCACCTGAAGACGGAAGCTTGTGTTGCCTCTGAAACGTCGTGATTTTTATTTTATTTTTTATTTTACTTTTATTATTTTTTTTACCTACGTGACTTTACCGAAAAAAACCCTAAGAATATGAATCCTTGCAGTCGCGAAAGCTTCAAATCTAGAATCTTCAAATCACGATTGAACCCAAAGAATAATGCGTATAGAATTTACATAAACGGGGTGAACAATGCCCGCTGCAAGGCTTGCCGCTCAGACGGCATTCACACGTGCGTCTCATCCGCAACTTGTGGGCACGTGGCGCTCGATGGGTCGGTGACGATTCCTTACGGAGCTCCGCAGAGATATTTTGTCAACCATGAATAATAAAGGCTCAGTCTTTTGTTATGCAGTCTATTCATAGTCTCAAGCCGCACCTTACCATAATAATAAAAAGTGGGCCATTCCTGGCCCTTCCCTCCCCCCTCAACCATTATATATACGGAGTGGTATCTCTTGTAATCTCTCATTTATTTGATACAGCTGTCGGGCTGTGACGGTTCCACCTGAAGACGGAAGCTTGTGTTGCCTCCGAAACGTCGTGATTTTTATTTTTATTTTATTTTACTTTTGTTAATTTTAAATTTTTACCTACGTGACTTTACCGAAAAAACCTAAGAATATGAAGACGAGATATGTGTGTACAATTTGACGACGACGACACAACGTAGATTGAATAATATATGTATACAAAAAGGACGTCACGCTTTCTGGCAAGAGTGCAGGCGTTAAGATGTTCAATGTCTTGATGCACTACACTATATTCTAAAGTTCTACAATATAAACATTGACTTAAAGCTTTCGTGACTGCAGGGATTCATATTCTTTAGGTCTTTCGGAAAAGCCAGGTAGACAGATCAAATTATAAAAAAGTGTTAGTTATTGTTATTTTTGTTATTATTTGATCTATCTACGTAGCTTCTACAATATAAATAAAAAAAATAATGCCAGGTATGACTCGGATTATGAAGCTGATTTGTTACAATTAATCCGTATTTTTCGTTCCCTTAAAAATCTCAATGTTCATCCTACAAAGTCCCATCACAAGGGAGAAACACAAATAGACAACAACAATGTTTCGCCCGTATTGAAACAGCCTTTACGCCGTATGGACCTGAAAACTCAATTTCCCTGTACAATAATGCGAGTACACCGTATGGGTTTGACATGCATGCTACTATACACTACTATACACTCTACACGACACTGCTATACACTAAACTATACATTACACTATATGCTACACTTTTACATACCTGTCAACCCCTTATCAGTGCCCTACCTTATTACAGACAAATTCCAACTTTATTGGTCACCCCGTACCCTTAGACATCCCAACGTTCATGCTACAAAGTCCCATCACGAACAAAATAGACATTGTGCAAGAAGGATACGGTGTTAAACCGTACGGGTTGGGACTTTGTGCCAGGTTGCGTGATTGCATCATCACAACACGATAATAAAAGGGGATGGGCGGTCGAGGCGGGCACCGGAACGGCAGCTAAAGGCGTGGAACAAAGTCCGCGGAGATGGGAGCTACAGCATCGCGTGCAGCTGCGGGTCTGATGGTGGTGGCTTTGGTGGCTTTCATCCAGCGGTGGATTGCCACAGGAAGGATTGCACATTGCCACACTTGCCAATAAAACCGTCCGCAGGAATGCGCTGCGCTCCGCCGCAAAGCAATTCCCATTGAAAACCTCAACAGCGTTCAAGGTTTGAAAGTTAACTGCGACGGTGTCACGCACGGCACAAAGACAGCCCCGTATAGCCTGTAGCAAACTGTTGGGGCAAGTGCTGTTAGCGAGCACCTATGAAGGCCGGCACGGCACACGAGGGGGTGGGTGGCCAGCACCGCACCACGTCCGACCGCCTTTGTCTCCCCAGTGGCGATGTTTGCACACCGCACCAGGTACTAATTTTAGGCTGAGTAGAACCAGGGGAGGCCCAGGACCGGTTCAGATAATCGTCACCGGTGGGTGGCCGTGAGCGGGATACAGAACCCGGGTCGCCGCGTTCTGCCCGCAGCGCGCTAACCACAACACCACCGCTCCCCAACAACGCGAGTTCTCGCACACACACACAGCGTTTACCCGGTGCGATGAAAGTTGTACGATGATAATAATCCCTCGCCTTACATTCCAGGCTTGCAGTTTACGATCGTTGCTTCCAGGATTGGGAGTTGAGTCACGCTGAGTCGACGTTTCGGGGGCCAGGCATTGGGAGTTTCCGTTACCATAAAATGTCGTAAAGGGCACCCCACCCCCATCCAACTCCACCCCCCGCGCCGTCACGCACTTTGCATTGTTCTGCTTTATACACCACGTGGAAAGAGCCCGGAACTTATAGCCATCGTCTGGGAGACGAAAATTCCCTCCACGAATCATTAACCCTACCCCGCCCCCACTAGAATTCAGCGGTGTCAAGATCGGCCTCTGTGGAGGAGGAGGAGGCTCGTAAAGGACGCTGTTCCTGGGCGGTTTCGAGGCAGTCGTCCTCCAGCAACAACCAGAGGTCGAAGGAGCAACGCTCACAACAACGAGTGGAGCGCCGGGCGATTACAACGCAGCGAATTGACACAGTTGGGGTGCGCAGTCGGTGCATCTGTCGGTCATGTCGGTCAACACATGGCACCTGGGTGTGTGTCTTTGTCCAGTCACCCCCAACATTTTTAGATGTGTCCAAATAGTAACCCACAGCGACGAGGCACCCACAGCGACGAGTGATCCACATCAGTCACCCACAGCAAAGAGTCACCCAAAACAAAGATCCATCCACAGCACAATCACCCACAGCAGTCACCCACGGCAGTCACCAACAGCACAGTCACCCAAAGCAAAGATCCACCCACAGCAAAGAGTCACCCAAAGCAAAGATCCACCACTGCAGTCACCCATAGTAAAGAGTCACCCACAGCGGGTGTAGATCTGGCAAAGAGTCATCCACACAATTTTGGACAAAAATCATAGTTTTCTCAGTGCCGAGTCACAGCGGTCAGCGGTTCGGTTGATGCGATACACAGCGGTCAAATATCACCACTGCAGGGCTATTACAACCAAACGGTCTCCCGAGTATCCGCGGCGTAATTATTTAACCAATGACCAGAACATCCCCAACTTCCAAAGCGCGGCTGAGTCCCGAAACTCGGTTTGCAGGATGGTCCTTGGTACATTGGCATGTTTGGTCAATTGCATCGAGTTTGGCTTCACACGCACGCGGATGGCTTTATTTTGGTGATTTTCGAAAAGTTTTTTGGTTCGGCCATGTGTGTTTGTTGTAGTACGGAGTTAGACTGATGGCCTTAATCTAAGTTGTCTTGTGGTTGTTGTTGTTTGACTTGCATCCCACTGGGATTTTTGCACACAGCGTTGGTGTACGGTGCTTTTTCGGCAATATTTTGCTGTTTTTTCTTGGATTTTCTGTTTACACATAGTCACATAGTCACATTAAGATGTTTTCTTGTTCATGTTTTTGTTTTTGTTTGTTGCGGTTGCACCCGATTCAAGAGCCAAATGGCTCACAGGGCTATACCTAATACATGAAACTGAAATGTAATCCGGAGAACCCGGAGAAAGATTACACACGCGAAGAGCTACCAAGTCCTCAAAACTTCGCAATCTATGGCTGTACTGCCATCTGATGGTCACCTCGAAAATAGCCAGTTCTAGCCTCTTACAGATACGGTGAAGCCATTCTTATTTGAATCTGCGTTTCCCAAAACAGCACGAGGAGCTTAACGCTTTACTGAAAATGTTATTGAATATGGAAATAAAGCGTGATTATAATGGCAGGATATGGCGGTGTGTATTATAATAATATCATTATCACTGAAACAAATTATGAATAACAAAAACCACGGCGTTTTTTTTGCGTGCATAAATCTAAAACACACCTTTTGCATTGCCAAGTGACACATTTTCGAAATTCCAACGTCAATGTTGTGTGTGCGACAGGATGTTCTTATCTCTTCACGTTAAAAAAGAGTCCAGAAGTCATCTTGGCTAAGACTGCACTTCCTCACTTCCCTCCGGCAGATGACACAGCTGCTGCTGCTGCTGCACAGGACACCGCAGCGACTACCAAGATCTGACAGTCTCCCACAATCTGACATTAGATTAGATTGCGACAGTCACACAGACCTACAGACTTACACAGAGACCCACAGACTCACACAGAGACCCATAGACTCACAGTGAAGTCCATAGACTCGCACAGAGGCACATCCACACAGAGACCCACAGACTCACACAGACCCATAGACTCCCGCAGAGACCCATAGACTCCCACCGAGACCCATAGACTCCCACAGAGACCCACACTCACACAGAGACCCATAGACTCCCCGAGAGACCCATAGACTCCCGCAGAAACCCATAGATTCACAGTGAAATCCATAGACTCGCACAGAGACACATCCACACAGAGACCCACAGACTCACACAGAGACCCATCGACACATATTTCCATAGACTCACACAGACAACTAATGACTCGGAGAAGTCCAGAGATTCACAGATCCGTAGCCTCTCACAGACACGTTTGTATGTTGAATTCATTTCGCTCCGTGCGTAGTCAATCATGCTCATCGGAGGTGCGATTACCACGGTCGGCTGCGTGCTAATCGACTCGCACAGAGATCGATAGGTCGATTTTGACAAGTTTCCCAGCATATGGCCTTAGGTCGTTCCCTTGGTTCGCTGGACGCCACTCCAACCCCCTGGGTATGGTTACCGTCGGCCCTCCTGCCCTCCCTCACACCGCACGCGTTGCCAAAGTCGCGAGCTGCCCTGGAGAGATTTGTGCTGTGACTGTTGAATTGTTTTACCGTCAGGATGAGTGCTGGCATGGCACCGCGGGTCAAATATTAACTGCAAGCCAAACACGGGAAGTATGGGGATATCCCACCATAATCTTGCTTTGACGGTTCCACCTGAAGACGGAAGCTTGTGTTGCCTCCGAAACGTCGTGATTTTTATTTTTATTTTACTTTTATTAATTTTAATTTTAATTTTTTTACCTATGTGACTTTACCGAAGAAAACCTAAGATTATGAATCATTGCAGTCATGAAAGCTTCAAATCTAGAATTATATCCCACCAGCCATGCGCATTTAATAAATACATCGATACTATTAAAGATTTGCTAATTTTAGTGGTAAGCAAAATATGCTCTGGTTCATAGACTACAAAGGGATTATTGATCGGTTTAAGTGGCTGGGACGTTTAATTATTCACGTGCACGTTTTAATTTGGGCATCAGATGTGGGCGCAGTGGGTAGTGCACTGCGCTTCGACCGCGGCGACATGAGTTCGGATCCCGACCTCACGGCTGGGGCGACCCTTGCAACATCCCGCAGTGGCGATTTGTGGTGAAGTATGGTCAAACATTCTAGATTTGAAGTTTTTGTGACTGCAAGGATCCATACTCTTTGTTTTTTTCTCTTCGGTAAAGTCACGTAAGTAAAAAATTAATTAAAATGAAAGCAAATAAATTTAATCATGACGTTTCGGAAGCTTGTGTTGCCTCCGAAACGTCGTGATTTAATTTATTCGTTTTCATTTTAATTATTTTTTTACCTACGTGACTTTTCCGAAAAAAACCCCATAGAGTATGGTCAAACAACCTCTCATAACCAACATAGTTTGGGAAGCCCTTCATCCCCAGTGGATAGATGATGTAAAAAAAATTGGTGATAAAGCTACGGATACGTATGCATGATTTATAAAATTAATACCCACATTGCAGCGTAACG